AAGAGTGTAAAAATAGGGCAAACATAAGTAGTCTTTCTTGCATGCACCCAGGTTCTGCAGCTAAGGGATTTTCTCAGAGGCAGCATCTTTGTGTTTAAAATCATGAATGGATCTTTTGCCCTTGGATTTGTCTTGTGGCTTTGTGAATCCTTGCCATTTGCAGCCAACAAGTTTCACAGGATAACCCTGCACCATGTGGAAAGTGGCTCCAGTTGTTGTTTCAAACCTGCTGCTCCGTGATTTCATTTGAAATTTCTCCATTCTTGTATTATGAGAAAAAGTGAACAGTCATTTCCCATTCACTGTCTTCGCAGCGCTCGTGATTATCTAGACCTCAACTAACAGGCTGCAATGATCTCTCCGGTTTCAAGACTTAGTCTGTGTGCTTCCAGAAGTACTGATGAGCCACTGATTTTTGTTGTCCCCTTCAGCACTGAGACAGAAGAATGTGAAGAAACAAAAACTGAAATGACAAAAAACTCTAAGAATTCTCTGGCCACCTGTACTGATGTCATTTATAGAAAGTGAAATTCTATTTGCTTGCACTGGTGCTGAGTCACAAAGCGTTGAGCATAAGAAAACTCAATTTGTGGGAAAGCTTCTAATTTCCTGTTTTTCAGGAGGAAGGGGATAAAACAAATTATGTGGGGGGAGAAGGGAAAGGAATAAGGAAAATAAATCTCAATAAAGAAGAATGTCAAAATACCCAAACTCCAGGAAGGCTAATTCATTTTAGCCCTGCTTGTTCAAACAAGCAGTAATGCAGAGTATAATGTACAAGCTCCAGTAAATCATTCCTGTATGATAGGCTGTGCTCAATGACAATTTAATGAATTCATTTTAAAACGAAGTCAGAATAGGAAAAACAGTAGTTATTTGAAAGAGTGCTTTACTCAAATAAATTGAGTCAATAAATATGCTATTTGTCGTGCAGAGTCCAGTTAAAGTCTTGTTTGCTAACAACAATGCTGTCATCACAGAGCCTAATAGAAGCAAACTATCTGGAACTATCCACTGTAAATAGACAAATACCATCTGAAAGCAGAAAACAACAATTGCGGCTGAACAAAGCATTGTATCCTGCACACATCAACAAATGCAATAGGGTAACCCACCTCAAAATCTACTATTTTGTTTGTCACCAGCATATATTCTGGTTTAGTATGAATGGTCTGGTGGTGGTAAAAAAAGCAAGGGCTGTATTTCTTCTGTGAAATGAGTTTTAATTGTTGCATAGTGAGGGTTTCTCTTGCTGGAAAAACATGCCACTAAAGTCACTATTAAATTGCACAATATGGCTTCAGTGAACTTGGATGGATTTGTGCAGGCTACTAGAACAGGGATAAGCTTCATCCCTTTTCAAACAGTAGCTTTACATTAATGTTCACAGCTATCCATGTTGTTTAGTGCAGATACAAGAAGGCTTTTTGTTTGGCTGTGTTTTTCACACTTGGCTTTATTCATGTAAGTTGAAGAGATGTGGCAATTCTTACTCGTTGTCATTCGGGGGGGGATTGGAAGTGTTAGTAGTGAAGCACCATCAGCCCAACATGGTCAGACCTCACAGGTCTGGGTTAGATGTGCAAAGTAGTATTGGATGGAAAGAGCCTGGTGTTCAGATGTGATGAACTGGCAGCAGTGGCTATTCAGCATCTCAGAAGCTTGGAGTGCTCTCATGAAGGTCCCAGGGCTTTGCCAGGCACATTTGGGCTTCCAACATCCTTCAGATTGTCGGGTGTGGAGGGGAAGAAAATGCTCAAAAGTCTTGACAGATATCTTGAAGATGGTATTTCCTATCCCAAAGGAAAATAAAAATTATGTTGCGGAAGCCTAAGACAGAGATTATGAAGAATTTCTATGTGATTTAAGAATCTGAACTTGACCCTTCACTCTTTAAATTTGGAATAGAACAGCTGGGGCATTTTTAGAGTTTGCATCATGTGGCCGGAGTTCGGCTGATTTAAATCTGCCCTGCAGTCATCTTAGGCACATTGTTCATCCACTCCCAGAGCTGCATTTTCAAAAATGAGTTAGGAATCCAAATACCTGTGGCTTTCAGTGAAACTTAAGCTTTTATGAATCTAAGTTACTCCCTAGTTTGGATTTAGGATCCAAAGTGACTGAAAAACTTAAGAATACTTTACAGTCTATCTACAAAGTCTTTTTAGCTGTAATCACAAGTGATTCCTAATTGAAATTACAGTTTCAGTCATTTCTGTTTTCCTTGGTGTTCTACTAACCACATAAAAATAGATGAAGGGTTTCCTGATAATAGATAGCCTACAAGTTATTTGGGTTATTTTTTTCATTCTGATTTCTTTTTGCTTTGCTCCTGTCACTAACCTTTGGTACTTTTTGTTTCAGCTGTTTCCACTACTAGGAGTAAAGACCAGTAAAGACAAAGCAGGATGAAAAGATGGCTGACTTCTTGTTACCACCGGGTACTAACAGCTTCCACCGGTTCACGCCTGAATCCTTGGCTGCTATTGAGAAACGAATTGCAGAGAAGCTTGCAAGGAATGCAAAGCAGGAATATAGAGAGCAGCTGGGCGAAGAGGAGAAACCTCAGCCTCAGTTTGATTTGCAAGCTTGCAAGAAGCTGCCTGATATCTATGGAACTGTTTCTCCAGAGCTCATTGGGGAGCCGTTGGAGGACCTTGACCCTTTCTACAATGACCGTAAGGTGAGCACTAGCCAGCCATCCTGCTTCTTTGCTTTTGCTAAGGCATAAACACTGTGTCTGTTTTGAGGGTTCTGTTTTTTATCTTTCTACAGCCAGTAAAAATACTTTTTTCCAGATCAAGGATCAGAGTTTCAGCATGAGCAGGGCTCCCAGAAAACATCCAAGCAGGAGGGCAAAGAGGGGTAAAAAGCATAATTAAAACTTGGGTGTTTTCAGATAACTGTGAGTATGAATATACAGTGTCTGAAAGGAGCAGAGCAGTAGCCGAGTTAAATTAAGCCAGAGGTTTTTATCTACCCTATCTTGCCTCCTGCACGAGGCTTGACTCTTCACAGGACTGTTTATCGCTTAAGCTCCTTAATGTTAAGGGCTTCTGGGTGACTTGAGTCTTGTGCTAGCACTCTGCGTAAGAGCAGGAGGCACCTCTACAACCGTTCTTGGAGAGCAGCGGTTCTTTTCCTGCTGAGGAATAGTTCAACTCCATTTAAAATAACCAAAATAGACCTGAAGGGAGATGTGAGTAGCACGTGCAATGCTGGCACTTTGCAGAAGGGTAAGCTTCGTCCCAAAGCGAGCATCACCTGATGAGGAATCACATGTAGACTGGACCAAAGCCACAACAGTGCAAACAGCTTCTGTCAAAAGGCTGTTGACAGCAGAGCCGGGCTGGTTGCTTACTACAGTTCGTTCCCCTTTCCAAATATTTCGCAACATGGGGGACAAAATAAGGCTTGGAAGCACAGTGTATTTTTAGGCAGCTTCCAGTTCTTTCAGGTACTGATGTTCCTGATTTTGGGCTATCCTATTTCCTGTAAACAATGAATTAATATGACCACAATGCTACTTCTATTAAAACAGTGTAGAAACAGGTGCAAGAACTACAGAATAAAAGTTAAATGGATAAAGACAAATAGATTACTTACCTGGAAGGGCCAGAATTAATTTACCTTGTAATTTGCCTGCTGTCCCTGGGCACAAGCAGCAGGATATAGATTTGCAATTTTAGTGTCAGGAAGGTCTTAGACTCCAGGTGGGTGAGTTGCTTAGCATTTATCTATTAGGTGTCCTGATCCCGTCTCTGAGTGAATAGTAGTTCCTCTGTGCATGATGGGGCATCTTCAGAGCTCTGTAAATTGGGGCAGCATCCAATTAACCTTTGCTTTGGATTTATGATAACTCACAGTATTGGTTTCATCTGCCCATATTAACCTGAGTACAATGACAGTGCCTCAGTTCCAGGGTCAGATCCTGCTGTGGAGCTGTGCCTCTTGCACCTTCTTACTTGGTGAGACAAAAAACATTGACTGAGAGCAACAAAGTGCTCAAGGTAGAGAAGATAAAGTAACAACATAGTAAGGTTCCCGGCACCTGGGAAGAAGAGCATCATAAAAGTCCTACCACATTTTAGTCTCCAGGTCATTTTTTATTTTTAAAGGTGATTCCGCTCTCTTCCCAGCTTTGTGATGGAGATGATGGCACAGGACCCTCTAAGGAGTGAAGGAAGAAAAAATAATTGGAATATTGCAATAGGGCAGGCAACAGCTCTGCTGGGAGAGTCTTGGACATAACTCTTCACTGAATGAAAAGGAATTTGCGGGTCTTGCGAGGGAGTGGGGAAGAAGTAGCAGATACTGGCAGGAATTTCCCAATGGGATGTGGGCTGGGAAAAGCTGAGCATAAATGCAAATACTGAATGTTCTCATTTTCTATTTTGTTTTCCAGACATTTATAGTACTGAACAAAGGGAAGACAATCTTTCGATTTAGTGCCACTCCTGCCTTGTATATACTTAGTCCGTTCCATCCAATCAGAAGAGCAGCAATTAAAATTTTGGTACATTCATATCCTTTCTGTTGATTTCCCTTCTTGTGTGTTTTTTATGGTTTTTAAACACAGATGGATGGAAGTCAGAAACCATTTTATTTCATTAAGCTGTTTTAAATCTTTTGGCTGAATTTGCTTGCACAAGCAGAAATGCACTTGGATTTTTGGTTTGTTTCGTTTTATATTGTTATGTGAGCTATGAAAAGACTATATTATACTACTGGCATCAGATAATGTGAACTGCACTGGAGAGTCTGGTGAGTTTACTCAGGTTTAAGGGGTGTGAAGGGCCTGATCATGTTTAGTAAAGAGTCAGTGGAAGAAACTGGGTGTAGTACCTTAGAAAGTAAGGGAACGAGGAGGCTGGAGCACACCTGGGGAGATCTACATTGATGGAGAGCTTCGCTACTGAGCACTTAAGCAACCTTTCCCATGAGACTCTGAGACACCATATGCAGACGCAATTTAATTTTGAACTGCCTCGGAACTGACTTTTTTTTTCTCTCCTGAAACAGAACATTTAAAAAATTGTTTTGTTGTTTTTTCAGTTTGTTTATTGCAATGTGTTATCCAGCTATGGGTAACATTCCTGTCACCCAGGAATGAAAGCACAGGCTGGCCTGCTGGACCTTTCAATGGAAGGGAGATGCCTGATTTCTCCTAGCTCTAATTCTGAAGTCATGCAATATATATATATATATACACATATGCAATGGTTGGGTTTGGCTTGTTTTTTTAATGTGGTCACAGAATCATTATATTCTGACATAGTCACATCTCTCTGGAAGACCAGACTGACCCAAACATTCAGCTTTGTGTGAACGTTACTAAAACCACACCCTTTTTCATGAGTTGCCTGCCTTCTCTACAGTGTGCATGAGAGACCTGGCATTGATAATTCAAAGACTCCGCGTGCTGCTGTGATGATCGTGTGATGTTTTAGTGATGGAAATCCCTCATCTGCAATGCCCATGTCCACCAGAGAGAACTAACAAATACTAAGCAGGTAGCATCTTAGAATCATTGATTTATTATCAAATTTCAGGGAAAAAAATAGGGCAAGAAACCTCATTCTCAGTGATTGTCCATGCAGTGGGGAAAAAATCCCCCCAAGAATACAGATATTCTATCAAGAGGAAAAACAGATGAAGCTTCTAGTAACAATAATTCTACGCAAAATGAATATGTGATATCAGCCAAGACAACAGCTCAATCTTTGACATGCACAGGCAGGAGGCAACAGCTCCAGTCCCAGTGAAACAGCAGTGAAGTTCCTGCATCAGGAACTGATTTGTTTTCTGTCGATAAAGACCTTTCACATCAACCTGAAACACAAAGGCCAACTGGCTGAGCAGGTGGTCAATATCCCAGGCAGAAGGGAGCTTGAATCGGCAAGTACTCAAGCAGATAATATCACAGACATGAATCTGGGAACCAGATCTATTGTCCTGCATGAGTGTAATCAAGCAATCTTTATTTTCCCCAGGGCAAAAGCCAAAAAAGAGCATTAACAAATGGTGCCCTGTCAAGTAAGTGTCTGAAGCAACTTCTTTAGTAGATACCGTATTTCCATTTCCAGTCATTGACTGTACCTTGAAGGCCAACTGTAGAACAGAATAGAGAGGACAGAGTAAAATCATCCTATATAGAAGCTGTGGGGGTCACATTTCTTGGTTAAGTAGCTGTATATGGAGTTCTTCCTCTGAGACTTCAGGCAGGATAGATCCTGTATGTTCACTGCTCATACAGCCAAGCCTGCTTAGTTTAGTTATTCAAAAATACACCCTTCCAAGGGAAAAATCATCCTCAGCCTTCTAGTAATGTGAATTACTTCAATTAACAACTTACCCCTAAACCTCTTCTAGGTATTTCTCCTCTTCTTCAGAGTCTAGGAGGCTTCATGAGAGGACCATAGCCCAGACAGCTGCCCAGAACAAGACCCTGGTCCATTTCTGTCACAGAGGACATGGGGAGTGTAGGTCTGCATCCCATCTATATCAAATGCAAAACAGAAATATTGGATGAACTCTTTTGCCTTCTGCATCATTATTAGCTATTATTAACATCTTTATTTACTATCTCCACCTATTAATAAGATTAAACCACTGCTAACATTTCATTGATGCCTTATGCTTAAAAGACTCCTCATAGTTCTTCTTGCCTGCAAGCCAAGGACCATTCTGTGGTGTCCTTAGTTTCTCCAAGCAGTTTCCTGTCCTGTATAGGATCCACAGCAATTTAAATTCCTAGTTTTTCTAGGTAATATAGATAGTTGCTCTCAGTTTGCCACTTATGCAGAATGGGGTTTTGGCCAAAATTACCTCCCTTGATGCTAGAATTAAGGATTCTGGCCCATTTAAAAAAAAGAAAAAAATCTTCTTACAGAATTTCCAGTCTTTGTTCATATTTTCTGCTTGCAACTTTTCTCCCATCTGATTTTACACACTTTCCTCTGTAAGGGAAAATGAGACCTTGTGAAGCACCAATTATATGTACTATTGATTGGGACTAACCTTTGCTTGCACATATTATATGTAATTTGGCAATGATCACTTAAAGAGCCTCTAGTATTCAGTCTGCTAATTAACAATTATCCATCATAATGAAGTCTAGAATAGAAGTATGCCTATGAGTGTTTGGCTCAATATCTTTGGGCTGGAAGATAAAATTTATAACTTTCAGAATCAGTTTGCTCAAAGCCCATTCTATAACTTCAAATTGGAAATAATAGGTTTCATTTATTGCAGAAAGGATCCTGATGAGTAGCTTAGTATATTTGGGGTTTGGTCCATAACAGAGTCCAACCCATACTTCTGGGTGTGTTAGCCATGTCAACTCATGGATCAGTAGGCTTTCAAAAATTGGAATTAATAGCAGTTCTAAGATAGGTAACAGACAATGGTGCTAACATGGATTATCTCAGTTTCATCTCCTTTACTTTGTTGTTTCTGAGTGGATCATCATCACTGACTTTTTCTAGTGCAAACAATTGCATTAGATTTCAGGAAGGAATGCTAGTTTTCATTCTGCAGGAATTACTGTTTTTCTTTTAGCACAGATCTCTGACTTTGGTGCATAATGAGCTGAAATGTTTCTTTCTTTTATGTTCTTTGTAGTTTTCAGCTTGGTCTTGAAACTCGGTTTGAATTCATAGTGCATTTGATGTCCGAAAGCTGACCCCTTACATTTTCAACCTGTGTTCTCTGGTATAGTCTCTTTGGTGTTTCAATAAGAAGGTGATGACACCTGCCTATAAGTGAGCATCTGGGAAAGCTTTTAGATTCAACTTATACCACAAGGAAACAGGGATGTATAAATCAGACCAGTGATCCTAAAATGGGTGGTTATAGAGGAATTTCCTTGCTTGGAATTCAACTGGAGGATAGTATTTGTTTGGCCTGGCCTGAAGATACCACTCTGTTTTACAATTGTTGTTTTCATAGCATTTCATAGCATTTCACTGTATTGCAAAAATTAACCTAGTGTTTTCTAGGCTAGCTGCAGTTTACAACCTAATTCCGTTAACCAGATGGACAAAACTCTTAGAAACGTATCTCAGGCTGACTTGAGAAAATGCAACTGGATATCAGATATCCTTAGGCCCCAGAAGTGGAAAATGTTTGTGAGATGAGCAGTCCCTTGGAGTTCAATTACTGGTTTCTGCAATGGCACTGGGGAATATGCAGGTTGGTTACTACCAATTTAACCTCGTAGTTGCTTATGCGGCCCATCAGAAAACATTCCACTCTGTATTCAGCAGAGATTTTGGCTCTGTGAAAGGACAATTTTCATGCAAACATTATATTCTTCGATTGCTGTTCTTAAACAAAAAATACCATCAACAGGATCAGTAAAGGGGTGAAACAAAAAAAAAACAAACTTTTTTTTTTTTTCCCTAAAGAAGGCAAAAGAAATTTACATTTGGGTGCTACTCTTCTTCCTTGAGAAGGGTCCCAACCTATTGACTGAGTTGTAGGCTGTTTTCCTTTGCCTTATCTTCTCTCCACTTAAACTCATTAGTTAAACTTTCTCTAGTAGCATGGGACCTATAATTTATGCAGAAGAATCCCATCATGTTTTGTAATTTTTTTACAGGAAGTGGCATGTGCTTTTAGGAGAGCAGTGCAGTGAACTATGTTTTCAATTTCAGGAATTCGATTTAGGGTGCTCCTTTACGTATTTATGGCCTCAGCTTAGCAGCTAAGTGCATGGACTATACACTTGGGAGGTTCATTTTAGCCTCCAATTAGGGAAACTGGTGCCTCAGCTGAGGCAGTCAGCTTTGCAGACCAAGACTGTGTATCTGCCAACCGGGTTTGCAGATCAAGCCTTAAAATTAGTGCTCTGAAACTCATATTAGCTTTTGGTGAAACTTTATACTGAAAGTGAGACCTCAAGCCCATTAGAGAGATTAGAAAGACCAGATTTATAACTTGCCCTACTGCCTGAGAAATGTTTCAGGATGCAAAATAAAATGGGAATTTGCAGACACAGGTTTTTCTGTAGATACTTAAATGAGACTAATCCCTCTTTTCATACAAAGTTGTGCACCTATGCACATTGTCATCTGACCAACACAGCTGTAAATTTAAAGTATTGTATTTTCAGAAGACTGCAGAGTCAGTATGTTTGTTTGTTCTATAAAGTATGTGTAAAAGATGTAGGCAAAGAAAAAAAAAGCAGGGGAGATTCCCTCATTTTTTCTACGTTTATATAATCATTTGTATCCTTATGCACTTGCAAACAAATGTCTATAGTGCTTTTTAAGCATCTTGCAAATTATGAGTGAGCTGTCACGTCTTGTGTGAAATGACAAAAATCTATGAAGCCTTATATGCGTTGTTTTCCTTAATTCACTTATTTACATTGTTCAGTATGTTTATTATGTGCACTATTTTAACTAATTGTGTGTTCATGGCACAATCAGAGACTCCGTCATGGAATAAATATGTTGAGTAAGTATCCTTGCTATTTTACAGCTGCCCTGTCCTTATCTCGTCCTTCCTCTTCCGTTTGTTATGTTCTTTTCATCTTGTTTGCTGTTGTCTAATTTCTTTCCAATACTACTGACCATAGTATCTGTCCTGACAAAATATTTTGCCAGGCATTTGTTGCCTGTGAAAACTCCCTTAGTAAGTCAACTAACAATTTTTAGTCTACCAAGCTCATACTTATTGCTAAATGCACCTGCTATGCTGCCTCTGAATGAAATCGTGTACGAGAACTCCGTTTGATACTGGCCAGCCTTCCACAGTTCCCATGCAAGAGATTTGATGAATGAATACATTAGAATAGGCTGTTGGAGTTTAAGTTGTATTATTTCAGAAAATACTTCCTGGACATACTTAGTTCTGCCCTTAAACTGAAACTTATTGGAAGCAAAGTTTTCTTTTGGACTGAGCACATCATGAGAAGTGTTCCCCTGTAATCGTTGGTAGGCATACATTATGAGCAAGCATAAAATTGTCTGGAAACACTTTTATTAGGATTCCTGTCTTTTTAGTGTGTCAAACCTTTGGAAAAAATAGCAAAGATATCACTTGAAGGTTTTTTTGGTTGTTGTTTGTTTTTTTTTTTTTAATTAATTTTAAAAGAGACTAACGGGCTTCAGAAAGCCCATTTCATTTCTTTAAGTTGCTTTAAAATATTCCTGTTAGAAACAGATACCAGATGCACAAGCTAATCAACCTACAGTGCATTAAACAATTATTTTGGCTCATTGAACCAATCAGAACAGACTTTTTATTTTTGACTGACATATGATAAACACAGCCATCTGCTGCTCCGTAGCCTGGTGGTTGGTCTACTCAGGGCTGTAAAGAAAGACAGTAAAATGCCCTTATTTTAGGTTTCATAAAATCATGCAGGGTACATCTTCTAGGCCATAAATTACTAATTATAGATAGCACTGAACCAAATATTTCATCCGATCACAATAACATCCTAATCCCAGGATGTTTCATGTATTTCTGTATAGTGTACTATGCTCAAGTATGTCTGTGACTTCCCTTTTCCCCTGATGTTGTCCTTTTCTTATTGAAAACTGTCACACAGTACCATAGCCATGATGTATTCAGCTGAAACATGGACATCTCATCCGTGTGAGTCTAAATTTGGTCAGTGGGTCTACAGCTGGGAATTTGAACGTTCTGGAGGAAAGTATCGAAGTGCTTGTCGTGTCTTCTGTAGGCAGATAAATGTGGGTAATGTTATCAGTGCATCAAGCAGGGCATGCAAGAAACGTAGAGCAGAAATTCAAATGGACCAAGGCAGCATGGAGTAAATCCTTTCCCTTCCATATTTTCTCTTCTCCTGCGTCCCTTCATACCTCTCAGCTTTTCCTCCTCAAATGCATGGAATGAAATCAAAAGCAAGTACTTTTGAGGAGCAAAATAACCCAGTGAACTTTAATTCAAATTGATTAATATTGGATTTGGAACAGATACATTTATTCCATTTTGTTCTGCTGTTCCCGAGACTCACAGGGGATACAAGAGTAACCTTGTGCAAATATTTGCCCTAGATCTTCCTTTAGAACATTTTCCCTACCATTTTGAAAAAAGAAATCAATTCAACTTACCCTCACTAAAAATTTTTTAAAAATCCTGACTTCTGTTGTTAAAGAAGCTGTTCAGTTGCTGGAGGACTTTGCCCGATCCATTTAGAATTAGATGATGATTATACAATCAATTAAACCATCTGACATGCTGAATAAATACAAGTGCTTTATCATTTTAATGAGCTTATGTACCGTTAAGTATTTTTTTTAGTTCTTTGCATGTGTTTTTCTGCATGTATTACTGAATACACATGCTTAAAGAGACTGTCACGTGGATGACCTATATTTGAAATACAGAGCAAAACTAAATAGGAGCCATGAAAAGTCGGATACAAGATAATGCTTAAGTGTATGGTCAAAGAGGAGATATGAGAAACCTTTTGCACCCAGTGATGCACAAAAGCAGTCCTGCTAATCTCCATTTTAAGATGAAGTGTACTGAGGTTTTATAACATGTATAACTAGCTCTACTGTGCGACATGATGTCAGGAGGGCATGAGATTTGCCACTAGCTGTATGTGTGCCCAGTTGCAGATCAGCAGAATACAGCTATTTTATGCATAATGAAGTTCCTCCTTATATTACCACCTGTAATTGCTTACACCTTTTTTGTTACCAAACAGGAATCCCAACTGTTATAATTTTTTGTGTGTGATGGCACCGTTATAGCTACTGATGTCTAGGGACTGAACAGAATACTCAAGCTAGTGTTTCCAGTGAAAGCCCCTAACATCATGACTTGCAAGATTTGTGTTTTATGGGATTTTAGGTGTTTGTCTGAGTTTTTTAAATAGGTTTTGGTATCATCTGCGTCTTCATTTGGAGAAAGGGGGTAGGGAATGCTAGTGGTGGATACTAATGATTTATTACTTTTATTAAGATATGGCCTAGAATACCTAGTTCCATTGGGCTAGATGTCTCAGGTAGAAACATTAAAAAAGAGGTGTTGTATGCCCTGAAGTATGTCTCTGGTGGTAGGTAGAACCCTGGATGAATACAGATCTGAATGTTATAAGTCAGATACATTACTGTCCTCCACAGAGAATTTGCTAAATTTTATTACAAACATCATCTTTATTACAAAAGGTAAGATGTATGTTCTATCCGAGATCATCACAATCAAGAGGCTGTTGGTAATAAACAACTTATCTTACTAAGGGAAAAAAACACCCTTCTGTGTCTTTTACTGTCAAGCAGGTCAAAATTACTACATATAGTATTCAGGTGGGAGTTATTTTCCTCTTTTTCAATGAGGGCATTCTGTTGTTTAATTCTGAGGGCTGGTGTGATTTGCCATGGATAGTGAAACACTAGGGAAGTTGCAGGAAAAATACCCTTTTTTGCTAATGTCACCTAGTGGTGACATTTTTTAACCTGCTATCCTTCAGAATGGCCTGGGCAGGAAGAGATGAGAGGTATGAATGGGACAACCACCCTTCTTCAGATCAGAGAAACAACAAGGAATGTGGCATAATCCATTCCTCTTTCACTGGCAATTGCAGGCAGAGCTTCAAAAGTCCCATAGCACAGCTTAGTAGCATAGTATTCATGCTTGATTTAATGAGTGAGGATTCATCAATGTACATCCTGTGGTGAAAATTATCTTCATCCTGCGGCTGTCGTGAGCGCTTTCCCATTTCTTATGTGCTCCTTGGTCCACACATGAAGCTGCTCATACACAGCCCAGTGCTGCGGCCATGACTCACATGAGCAACCCCAAGGAGATGGGCAGGAGTGTCTCATGTGAGTAGGACTGGGTTGAGTGTGCCTCTGCCATTCCTGCCATCTACTGCTTGCTAATGCTTTTGCTTATCTTGGCCACTTTATTCCCCAGGTACACTTTCACTGGCATTTACACTTTTGAGTCATTGATAAAAATATTGGCGAGAGGATTTTGCATGACAGAATTCACTTTCCTTCGGGATCCATGGAACTGGCTGGATTTCAGTGTTATTGTTATGGCGTAAGTAGAACTCCTTTATATATTTCAAGGCAGCAATATGCAATAGAAGTTTTTAAAAAATTGTCTGGCTGTTCTCTTTTTTTTCACTCAAATTGTACTGAAAATGAGAAAGGTATATTAAGATGGAGTTTGTTTTCCTGAGTGATTTCAGAGGAAGAAGTCAGATGAATTCTTGATTTTGTTCTCTCGATTCACTAGACTATTTTGGAGAAATTATTTACTCTCTCTGTGCTCCACAGAGAGAGCTGTTTGCAAAATATCTGTAATAATACTTGCCTACCTATTGTAGTTTTGGGAAGCTTCAGACCCCTGAATAGACAGTGCTATAAGTGTGACTAAATACCCATGTATTTAAATCCCTATTTATAATCTATCCATCCATAACACCACCAAAGCTGTTTTCATGTTCTTCCCTTCACAAACCCTCTTTGTCCTGAAAGTAATTACTATTTTACTACTATAGGGAATTAATTTAAAGGCCTCTGAAACTTGTTATATATCTTGGGAATAGAAATTTGGCCCCCAACATGATATTGCCCTTCAGCTGTATATTTCTACCTAGATTATTAGAGTTCACTCAGGACATGTGGGGTTCTGGTGCTTTGAAGGAGCTGACGGATTTGTGGCATCTAGACAGCTAAAAATACACGGGGGTAGGGGAGCAGTCAGCCAACGCTCAGAGCGGACACAGCGTCAGCCCAAGCTCTGGCCAAAGGCAGATGTCTGACACTGTCGGTATCTCCAGCTGAGTTAGAAATACAGATTTTCTTCATAGTCAAAGAAGAGAGAAGGGCACATGAAGAGAGCATGCCATCTTGAAGTGGAAGCTAGTAAAGATGCCCTGAAAGGCCTCATTTCTTAATTGTAGAAGGATTTCATCTGATCTCCCTGTATTTTCTGCTTAATTACACCTATATTATGTTCTGGTTTTAGTTTAGTTCTTGCTACTGTCTTTAAATCTCATAATTCATAGCCTTAGTTGAGATGCAAGGCTGCTAGCACTGACATTTGAGCTGAACTCTTGGGCCCATGACATTTAAATGGAACCAAAATTGGTAAAAAATGTTCAACCAAACTTAGTTCAAACTCCACTGAGGGCCACTGAATTGGGTAGAAAAACTCTCGTAGGCTGCAGGGATCAGGACCGATATTCTTAGCAGCTTTTAGCAGAGGAATAGCATGAAGATGTGTAAAACTTATGTGGACTTCATTGGGAAGTCTCCCATGTATTTTAGTAGGCTTTGGATCAAAGCCAGCCCTAGGCCAGATCTTGGTATCTGTTACTACATTCCTATGGATTTGGCTGAACTGACATCTGGCCATCATGATAAGCTTTTAAAAAAAAAGTGCAACACAGATGGGGAGGAGCTTTTGCAGGTCACCACACATTAGGTATTTTTCTCAGCTAAACTTTTCCTCAAGCAGTGCTAAGTGCAATTCTCCTGCAATGTTTAGAGGCAAGACTGAACAACACAAGGTGTCACCAGCCTGCTCTCTTGTCCATCAGACAGCTGGTAAAAGCAGGGTACAATAGTTCATCTGTTTGTGAGTTGGGATGTGAGTTCATTTGCAGGTCTCTGAATTCAGGACAACATGGAGATCTTCTGTGCATGTGTTGCCCCTATTCTACAAGGAAGGAGGGTTTTGACAGGGAGACAGAAAGGAGCAGGGAAAAGGACATGATGAGCCACAGCTTGCAGCCTTGGCAATGCATCTGCTCCACCTCATCTTCTCAGCTCGGGCAGAGGTTGGGGTGTCAGCCCCAGCTCTGCAGAACTCCTCTGGGAGCATCTCACTGACCGTCACTGAAATTCGAGTCTGAACAGTTAGTGTGGGACAAGGTCTGGATACCGCTTAAATTCTGTCCACATTATCTCTGGGTGTTTGGGGCTTAGGAGCTGGAAGGATGTGAAGGTTTGCACAGACCGGGAGGTGGACAGTTGCCCAGAGGTGATTCACTCCCTGTAGGTAGGAAGCAGGGTTTGGTTCCCAGAGGTTGTGGACTTACACCTCTTTTTGCTTTTCTGATTCTTCTAGACTTGAATGGCCACTCAGTGCTCCAGCCCAAGGATTCATGAAAACTTCCTTAAGCCTTATTTAATGAGAATCTTGGGTGTCTGTGCTTTCTTTCCTACCTACATTTCAATTTTCTTTCCAGATGATTTTTCATCTCTTAGTTAGAAGATTCCTAAAACAAGGGGGCCTGCAACTGCAAAAAATCAAGTTTCTCACCATCAAATTATAGCAATGGCTGCGCTCTTCAGAACCAGCATCCATTCCTATTGTTTCTTACTTTAAGGCATATTATATTAACATTTTTCGAATAGAAAAAAAAAAAAAAAAGAATTGGAATTCTGGAATAAAAAAGAAATAGAAAAGTGTTTCCTTGAGCCCATAGGCAGCAGTGACAGAGTTAAAAGTGACTGCAATATTATCTTCATATGTACAATGAAACTTCCTTCCCAAGTATGCAAGCAGCAAATAGTACAGAGCGCTGGATAATGGGATCTATTCTGATATGATTTATCCTTCATATAAATCCAATTTGCAAGTCATTTAAAGTAAGACTGATTATACAGGTAACTCTGGTGTTGTCTTTGCTTGTAGCTAGTGGGATGCTAGAGGTATTTCTGTAACTGGAAACAAAGATGGCATGAGAGTTCAAAATGGGAAAGCCTGATGAGGGGCCATGAGATCCAGAGGGACCAAGGGGTTTGAGCTAACAGAAAATCTGTTCTTTCAGTGGTGGGTGTTACAGTGGAATGACCATCACCTGCTTTACAGTTATTGCAAAATAACTTCTTATCTCCTCTTCTGGGCAGAAAGAGCAGAGACTGGGTCACAGAGAGTAGTTTTAAATAGCATGCTAGAGAGTAAGAGGTGCCACAGGTGTCCAGGGCTTTTCTCCCACCCTGTGCTAACAGACATAGCCATGGCTTGTGACCCTCTGTGGGGCCACGGATGGATTCAGGGGAACTTATGAAAGTGCCCCTGTTTAGATCACACTTTCCCAGACAAGCAAGTACTTTCCAGAACAGGCAAGGGAGAGGCAGCTGTAACTCTGGGTTGGAAAGTGCCCTGCCAAAAGCTTAAAGACAGTAAGCAATTCTCTGGCTAACAGGAAAATTCGAGATGGGAATTCCAGTTGCTTCTTGCTCCCTGATACAGTGGAACTGGTCTGCTGCAATTTCATCCAAGAAATGGCCGAAATAAATCTCAATTAACTGATGTGAAGCAGTAGTATTTGCTTCATATGCTTGTTCACATATTAATAATGTTTTTTTGCAAATCCCTGGTCAGCAAAACCATATTCCCGTGCTATTGCTTCTCCCCAAATTATTTTTTCCACCCTGGCATGCTGCAGAAGAGTTTGGGAGAGAAGCACTGGGTAAACCTGGGTAGGAATTACCAAACAGGTAAATCTTTGCCCAGACTCCCCTATGAGATTATGAAGAGGAGAGGCAATATTGCTCTTACAGGTTATAATCTGGATTAGTAGGAATGGAGAGGATGCTTTGTCCTCCCCAGAGGCCTTTGCACAAAGCCCACTTAAGCTGGCTTTGTAAAATAACCAGGTGAGGTTTTTTTTTCCCTTAACATGTAAAAACAAATGCCTCAAAGAAGTAGAATATGTAAATGAAATTTAATAGAAATTTAACAGTGAAATTAAAGGGTCCAAGAGCTGGTTTTTTTCAGAAGATACAGTGGTGACTATGCTTTTACTGTATACTGACTTGGAGGAAATATTTCTGTACAACACTGATAAAACCAAACTCATTCCATAACTGGCCCTCCTGGGAGCATTTTGCTCAGATGTGGCATGGGTCTCCATGATGACCAAAATAGGCACAGCAGTGAAGAGCTGGGATTGGTATTTTAATCATAGTTTTTACTTTAGTTCAGATTGCAATTATATTAATTCAAAATCCATCTTCCTGCAGCCAAAGGGCATGGATTTGATGTACGAAACAAAACAAAATTTTAAGCATCTCTTGAAACCAACATCTGCTTTACCACAGAGTACAGCATCTTAGAATAAATAACCCAGTAGAAACATTTGCACTGATATTTTCCCGTGTTGTCCTATATGTAGTTTGCAGAAGCTATTATGTGAAAATTACTTGGGTATTTGAAGCTTTTATTTTTTTAAGAGCAGCAAAATAACTCTTAATGTTTCCTATAATGTAAAGAATTTTTTGTTAAACTACATGATGGTAAAATCTTTAAAGTATTTATTGCTAACAGCACGATAACAAAGTTCACCCAGTAGTTTTAAAGAATTGATGCCTATTAGATAAGTTTAATAGTTCAAGAAACATTTGAAATAATGTGTACTGTGAAAAACCCGGGACAAATGGCATCAAAGAACGGCCTGAAAAGTGGATGCACCTCTTGTTCAGCTGCATTTGCTCCCACTATGTATGAATGCATTCTTCATTCAGACAAGTCTCATACTCTATTGTATAATTCCAAATAACTGTGACTTAATTCTACAGGTATGTAGGAGAATTTGTGAATGTAGGCAGTGTTTCACCTCTTCGGACTTTCAGGGTATTGAGAGCTTTAAAAACTATTTCAGTAATCCCAGGTAAGAAGCCCTGATCCTTACGTTTTGGCTCTCAGCTACAAGTGATTCTTTCTCTGTCTCTCTTTGTCCCTTTGACTGTTGTTTTTTTGCTGGTGTTTTGTCATTGTCTGTGTGTGACTTTCCCTTGTTACAGATACATAACTGAATTTGTGGACCTGGGCAATGTCTCAGCCTTACGAACGTTCAGAGTACTGCGGGCGCTGAAAACAATCTCAGTCATTTCAGGTGAAAATCAGGTTAAACACTCGGGCTGCAGTTAAAGCCTACATGCCATTTCCAGTAGTAAACACAGTAATTACAAATGACTTAACCATAGATACTGATCAGGAAATGGAGGAATGTAGGGAATGTGACCTGTCAATAGAATACATTTTTCATACGTTTTCCAATACTGGTTTGTGGGCAGAAGGAATTAGAGTGCTTCCAAAATTACAGACCTCAGTAAAATGAGAGCTGCTGTAAGAACGGCGCTATGCAGTGGCTCATGAATCACATACATAAAGTACTCATTCACGAACCATGTGAAAACGGCAATGAAACTCTTTTAAAGTCTTCGGATATTGATTTTTAAAAATGGAAGGTTAATGACCTCAAAATGCATATTCATGTTTAAGAGCGCATCGATAGAGGCATCTAAATCTGTGCTATGAGGTGAGGTTTCAAGACTGCAGGCATAGATAGCCTAATTTGTCATGGTGTTTATCCACTTGCATGTGATAGAAACACTGTTTAAATTTCGGACCCTGAAGAGATGAGAAAACGTTTCACCATTGATTTCGGTAGATTCAGCATTTCACCAACACACATTTTCTCACATTTTAAAGGATATGATTCCTGCCCCCCCAAAAACGTGTTTTACTACAAATCTGGTGGTGAAATAAGCTCTTTTTTCATAGCTTTTTATCTAATCTATTACTATTGCTTAAAATAATAAATAATATTTACTATTAAGTAATTTATTCAGAGATGAGCCCAATCTCAGTGGACTAACCATACGACGATACTTTCTTGCCAAGCATTATCTATGGACAGGTCTCATTCAGCCTCAGTGTTTAACGTCTCCAACCTGCATGACAAGGTAGAGAAGATAGCAAAACCCATGCATGGTAGATCCTACGGGTGATAATCCTGAACAGATGTTGGCAATTACATATCAAAAATATTCAAAACGTCAAGAGAACTGCTCAGATTCTCACACACAGCTCTTTGAGGTTAGAAAGGCTTTTCCATCCATCATATTATGCACATCTACACTGTAATATAAACCTAAACAAATTCTGTGGTGTCAACTTTTAGGGACAACACTCACATGAAGTATGAGCTAGAAATGGGAATTCTGGAATTAAGGTGTTCAGAAAACATATATATGGGTCTAGGGCTTACTCCCTCATTCCAACATTAAATTAATGAAAATCAGTGAAATTATTGACAAAGCAAGGTACTTTTCATTGAAAGTGTATGTCAAAATACAGCTTTTAAAGAATACTTTAAGACAATTAGATCTGGCATTCCTTGAAATCAGTTCCTGTCTTAATTTTTGTCTTTAAGTTTAAAAAGAACAATCAGTTAGCAGAGAGGTTTTGTTACATTTTCGTTAATTAAATTTACACTGAGAAAGGATTTTTTTTTTCTTGGGAAACAGAAAGTTGAGCGCAGTTTTACAGATCATGAGGGTAGTAGTGGCTAATCAGAAAGAAAACTGGAGTTTCCCAACTTCCATTGCTAGCGATTTGAAGACTAACTTGGAGGGACAGCCATCTCCAGGGGACATCTTTCGCTTTCCATCTTGTCTCAATCTTGATCCTCTTCAGAGCAGAGCCTGTCACTTTTGCTGAGTTATATATATAGCGATTTTCTGCTGTTCTTTATTAGAGTTGGAGCAGAAGCTTGTTTTACATCAAATGATAAATTTTGGCTGTTTTTTTAGTGGGGAAAAAAAAGGAGTATTGAGATTCAGAAAAACTTTTTTTAAAAAATACACCAAAGCCCTTCAGTGATATTAAAACCAGAGTTGTTCTATTTGTTGGTTAATAGAAAAAAAAAAAAAAAAAGATGAGGGTATTATTTATTAGAGTAATACATAATAACTCACATTCTTTTTTTTTCTTTCCGACTGACTATTTGATTAGTTTTTTGATAACTGCATTTTTAGGTACAAGTAACTAAATCATTTGCTGACATAACTGCATGAAGATATGCTAATAGAATATCTGGCCTTAGATTTTATTGTCAAGGTTACCTGTGCCCTGAGTATGTTTAAATTACAGATGTGGAGAGCTACAAATTGCCAAGGAACACCTAGCTGCCTACGCAACTACACTGGTTTTTTATAAAGTTAGCAGGTAATTTCAGAGGAGTTGGTTCATTTTTCAGTTAGACACATGTATTTTAAAAGAAATATTGGGCATGATTCTGTGTTTATTTGGATATCACTCTGAGTATTTAATAACATAGGCTTATGCTGAGATGAAATATTTTTCCACAAAAGGCTTAAAAATGAAAAGATGATGAACATTAATATCTTCCATGAGATTTTTGGGTTCAACTGCTAGAAAGAGGAGAAGGTGGTTGTTACTTTTACATCTTAGGTGAAGAATGTTGAGATGTATTCTCCTTTGCAAATATCTAAGCTTTTCCTCAATAAAATTGATCACACTTCTCCATCAGGTAGTTATGTTTGCACAAACATACTTGGACTCAGCATGCTCAGTGAAATTGTTTACTGAAAGTAGCGGGCCAAGTCCTCCGTGGTATAAGGCTTCTGTCCAGCAAAGCACTTAGAGGCTGGTTTTCAAAGGCATTCTGCTTCATTTGAAATCGATGAGTTTCACTATTGACTCCAGAGGGAGTCAGTAAAGCTAACAATTAGTGCTTTTAAAAATCTCACCTACCTTTAATGCCTCGCTCTAAGTGCGCAAGCAGGCACAGGGACATTTAGGGGACACAGACTCACAGGACTGAAAAAGATCTCCCAGACTCTCAGGGTCCGTTCCCCTGGCCTAAGTCTGTGTTTAGGATAGCTCAGACCTGGCCTGGTATTTATTGTCTGACTTGTTCTAACAATCCTTCAAAGGTGGAAGTCTCATGATCCTTCTGAGAAGTCTGTTCCAACACCTCATTACTGTCACCATTAGAAGACTTGCCCTGGGAGGGCAGGTTCAAATCCAGATGCAGCAAGCCAAATATTAGAATCTACCAGCAAGCCGTGTGCTTCCTGCTCACTGGAGATCTGGGGCTCAGTTTGGTTGCCATCATGCCAGGATCTCCTGCTCCCCAGGAGCCACAGATCACCTGCAGGTCCTGTCTCTGAATCCAGACCCCCATCCAGCCTCACTCTGTCTTGGTGCATTATCAGCTCATTATTTTTTACCGTACAGCCACTGTGTAGGGACATCAGGTCAGTGCCTTACCCTCTGTGGCAGCCCTTAACATGCCAGAGGACCTTCATGGATCCCTTCAATTTTCCCTTTTCTGCACCAAACACACCCATTTCTTTCTGTTTTCCAGTTGCCCGTGATATTGAGAGAAAACAAGCTTTGTACAGTAGCTGGGTATCTGTTTATGCAGACTTATTTAAAGAAAAAAGTTTTTAATTTCTTCATATATCCCCTATATTCACATGCTTAGAAATAGGTAATATTTTCTCTATGGGAGCATAAAACCTTTAACTCTCAGTGATTTTATTTATTAATTAGTGTTGCACATTGCCATGGCAACTGGATTCATTCGTTTTCAATCTAGACAGGAACCATGGTTAGCAGCAGAACAATCCACTGAAGTCACTTATTTGTCTCCCATTACCAGCGTATCCACGTCCCAGTGTGCTCAATAGGAACCCTTCCCGTGACAACAGAGGGTCTTTAATAGTTTATCTGCACAGAAATCACCAGGTTTTTGATAACTACTAATTGATGTAATGTAAAGCCCTGAGGTACACCCTTCTATGTCTCCTCCTCCTCATCATCATTACCAGGATTTTGTAAAGTGCCTGTATCTAGAGAAGCTCCACTGCTCTTTCTAGAACAGGCATGTACATCACGGACATCTCACATAAAATGACAGGATACCAGTGAAGGGTGACCTCATAGAAAATTGGGCCAAGGCACTTTGGGGCCTGATCCAGCTCCCATTTAAGTTAGTGTGAGTCTAAAGGCTATAAATAGGCTGCAAATGTTATCCAGTACTTTACTGATAGCCAGAACAGAGCTTGGAGCACGAGAATTAAGGCTGTGTGGAGGAGACTGACCCCCGTTTGCTGCTTCAGTCTCACTGAAGTCCTCCTGCACAGAGATAAATGTCATCCTTCTGGTGGGTAAATCACTTAACTCAAGAAGTAACTATCCCCGAGGTGAGAAACACACATACTTGTGTTTTCCTTGGAGACTGGCCTGATAGTCACATTTCCATGCAAAGATGGTCTACAGAAATGCTGACAACCATTCAAGTTTGCCAACATGGTATTCAACTCTTCGCTACCCTACATGTCAGTGGCTAATGGCAAAATACATTCACAAGGGTGAACTCTTCTCTCCCTACATGTACATGACTTGCAGACATTTATAAGACCCATGCATATCCTTAGGAGAAGGAGTAGGCTAGGTGAGGACAATCATAGTGCAAGTCACACTCTCTTTTTTTGTTTTTGTTTTTTCTCCTCGCTCATTTCCATGAAAGCATCTGATTTTCTGTAGGTGATTGCCAACATCTGGTATGGATGTCATACTGAATTACGCTAATACTTTCTCACATCTCGTAGGAGGAATGGATGGTGGTGTGGGATCTTGCCATTTCTCATTGTTTGGTGTTGCTTGCATTTTCTATGGTTTCTGATGTGCATTTGAAAACTGATTATTTGATTAACCTCTGAATGTGTTAATTTCTACCTGCATTAACAGGAATGTTTGGGCCAAATCCTTCTTGCTTTCTGCAGATGTCAGGCTGCCTATACGGCCCTCATTCCACTGATTTTGGATCTTCTGGTGTTGTTCATGTCATGCAAGCAGGATTTGGCCCAGAAGTGTGGAAAGAATTCAGTGATTCAGGAAAAGCCTGTATCGATTACTCCACAGGGAGTAATCTATAGACCCATTGTCATTAACGGGTGTAGCTGTTCCTCAGCTTTGGATCAGATCCTCAGTTTTTGCTGCATGCTGCCTGGTTTGATGTTTGACTTGCAAAAATTAAGTAAATGCCTTTAATGCCCCATAAATAGTATCTTCTATTAAGCTATATTGCAGTGGTCTCATTGGCACTATTTCAAAGGAGGATTATTTATCTAGAAAATTTAACACTGCTCTAAATTTGAATACATCTAGCATTGCTTTTACAAAACATGGGATTGACTCAGAGAAATGCAGAGCACCTGCAAGAGGTTCTGGTTGTCGTTATTACCCCTCAGCCCTTCCACGTATGAGCCACAGAAAGTTTAAATGAATGCTGATTTAAGTGCTTTCCTTAGCAGTGTGTTGTGCCAAGTAACTTGACGGACACTACGTAATTTTCTGGCCAAGTTTTGGTTTTAAAGGATGAGAAAAAAAACCAGTTAGATTATAAGTCCACTCCCCAAATGGTTTTCCTGGAAAGTTTTAACAAAGGTCCAGGAGGCAGAGTACAAGTTATTTTTAAATGGTCTTTAATTACAGCAATTGTATTACTAAAGCATTCTCTTCTTAAACTGTTCAGAAGCCTGTATGCTATTAAAACAAAAAAAAAAAAAAAAAGAAAAAGGAAGTAAAGCTGAAAGCCCTCTCATAAAGAAATTATTTGATACCTGCAAGGAATGAACTTGTAAAACTAATAGTATAGGATTACTATTCTATTTAAAACCCCAGTAAGTAAACTGAGAAATACATGTTTCATGAAATGACCTTGAAATTTACAATACTGGGGCCTGATTTTGAAAACAGATAGTCTTTATTGGTGATTAGGGTTTTGTAGGTCTTGTTTCCTAATATTATCCCTGTTCACATTAGGACTCCCATTGTCCTTGCCCATGTGAGTAAGATTAATTAGTGTGCTTAGATGATAAAAATGCAGCCTCCAAGCTTGCATTTGTATTACAAATGAATAAATGTGCTGCAGGGATTCCACAGAGGGTACTGAATTAAAAAAAAAAAACGTGGTTTGGCTTTTTTTCCCTTTTTAAGACTCAGTTTGCATTTGGACTTCCCAAGTTTCACCAGCTTCAGTGAAGAAACATCTGTGCATTCAAAGGAAAACCAGTGATGAGAATCATCGGAAACATTTCAGAATATTAGATAAAATAAACAAATATTCTAGTGCATTTACAAATCATATTTCTTTTTCCCCACCTCACTACTTGTTTAAGACCTGGCTGTATTAAAGGTCTTATATTCTTAACACTGGATAAGGGTGAGACCCCAAGAAGCCCTTCAGAATTGGGCTACAACTACAACTAGTTTCACTTCGGATATAAAGTTCACCCAAGACTAGATTATCAGAAGAGCTATGCTTTTTATTTAGGCATCAAAATAGGTAGCCAAATCTACAGATGGACTCAAAAGTTCCAAGCTGGCCTTTTTCTAGGTACCTGAATAGAACTGACCTCATTTGTAAAATCTCTTTCTGGTGAGGACTGCAGATGATAGCATGAAAATCCAGCTTTTGACTAATGTTTATACTGCAATATTTTTTGCTTTGTTTTTGAGTAGAGCAGGGACCTGTCTAACCTCTCGCTCTTTACCATGCCACAAACTAACTTCAAAGAGGCAAACAAAGAATTTAACGGAGAAAGGGGGCTACCCATACCAGATGGGTCAGTCCTTTTTGGTTAAATGGCCATTTTATACACACCAATATCATTCACAGGTTAACTTAATGACAATACCCTATGCAGGAGTGGAATATTTTAGGCTGCTGGATACAGGGACTGCTGGACCTGTTGGCCATTCTGGCAGTTCATCCTCCTTTGAGAAACTATGATTTCTCTTTACTTTAACCGCAGAATTTTAAGCAAAACCAAAAACTCATTTTTGCCTTCCTATGAGTCCTCAAGTACATTTTCATATTATTTTAAATTATACAGCACTAGCTTAACCTTTGTGGCTGCCAAACTCTTGGGGTGGAATTCCAGGGAACTGAGATTTAATGTGTGTGATCATATTCAGTGAGCAAATCAATGTGCTTCTGAGTATTGCCCAGGAGAATTCCTCCTGTTTCCTCTCTGCACTTTCTTTTTTCCATTTAACTCGATTTCTCTTACTGCTGCCATACTGGTGACACTGATTATCAGAAACACTGGTTACTACTTATCGAGTATTAATTAACTATAAATAGGAAAGAAACAACAAAATTGCTACCATTGTGCAGCTGATATTAACATCCAGCTACAGTACACATGTTTAGGGGGGTCTTTTTTTGAAAAGAGTGGGTTTTGTCGTATTCATGTAATATTCAATCAGCTTAAATAGTTCTGATCTCCAAAAACACTTCAAAAGCAGGCAATATCTTTTGCGAAAACAGTATAATTATTTATATCTGTATATTTATAGAACAATAAACTGAAGTTAGTGTTACAGGGTGAAATAACACAGGAGAAGCTAATTTGTGTGACCCAAGCCTTGGGTGTGTGCAATAAGATGATTTATCTACATTGGCAGCATATTGTAAAATTATTAACTTCGCCCAGGTATTGTGGGAGCCTCAAGTTGTTTTCTCAAATAGATTTCCACTGGATTTATTTGTTTGCCTGTATTATTTGGCTTCTAAACCCAAATTCTTGTTGTCTTAAGCAAATGAATTGAAGGCAGAGGAATTATTCGTATGAGGACAGAGAGATGGATTTGGCACTCAAATATGTAAAATAATCAGGGAATAAATAACATTTCCATACTACTTCATCTGTTTATGAGAGGGATAAAGTTATCAGAATCACCTGAGTGACTTAAAACCAATTCACATTCTCAAAATTCAATGGGATTTAGGCTTTACAGCCTTTACTGCAGCTCCATGAAAATATAAAAGACATTCTGTATTTTCTTTATCCATTAATATTTTTGTATCTCGCTGTTTCTCCATCCAGTTCTTTCCCTCCATTTTTAAATCAGTGTTTGTGTAAGAGTAATACCAAGATGTTTGTCTGGACAAAAGTAGGCCAAACTAAATGTTCATAGTGATCACTTGTCTCTCGTTTCTGCCATCCAGTTACAAAAAAATGTAGTAGAAACCCTTCCGATTTTCCCTTCCATGGAGATTTTCATCATGAAAAGTAGCTATCTGCAGACATGTTTCAGCCTCTCAGTCTATAAACTCTTGGCTTTTATCTCCCTAGGACTGAAGACCATTGTAGGGGCACTTATCCAGTCTGTTAAGAAACTTGCTGATGTGATGATCCTGACCGTTTTCTGCTTGAGTGTCTTTGCCCTCATAGGCCTCCAGCTCTTCATGGGCAACTTGCGACATAAGTGTGTCAGGGACTACACCAAATTTAACTCCACCAATGGCACGTTGTACTTGGATGGTAGGATGTGGAACACCTCGGAGGAATTTCTTAGTGATCCAGGTAAGCTCTTCTTTACCCTGTTAACTGTTTTTTGGTTGGTTTTTTTTATTGACCAAAATCTACATGTGAATCAACAAATGCAGCATTACGTGACTACTGGCTCTTCATGATGTTGATGTAGTTTTGAACACTTTTTCTGATCTCTGTGGTGCCTGCACAGTTCATGCTGAAAGTATTTCTGGTGCTTTCCTATCATACAGACTAAGGTCCTTGTTGCATCAATGAAGATTTTCATAGTTTTAGGGTGTCTCATTATATTTTTCTTAATGCTCTGTTTCCTGGAATTAGGCAATCACATGAAAATTTCAGCTCTGTGTGTGGGTCTGGTTTGTACACTGTTTCTTTAAGACAATTTATAGCACTTGCATTATCTAGCAAAACTTCAAAATTTGAATTAAGGGTCTTAAAAAATCAAAAAGCAAAGCAGAGCAATTCAGTATTTATTAATCTGAAAAATCCCAAGAGCATTTTTTTAAGGAAATCTTATGCTATTAGGGCTCTAACTCATTATCTGGGTTGGGCCATCCTGCACTATCTGGTGCTCTGATGTTTATTATCAAAAGGCTTGTTTCTAGGCCAAAGCAATTTTTAATATTCTACAGTCTGCTATACTTTGAATTACAATGAAATAGGTTCACTGAACTCATTTATTAACATTTAAAAAAAATAAGCATTTCATGTAAATAAACTTCAGAATGTAAACAAGTGGCCCAGCTGTTGCTGCTCCAAAGCCCTCTGAGTCACTGGAAGACCCACACCAATTGCAGTGGACATGGGCTCATATCTAAAATAATTCAGTGATGCTCTTGAGGGAAGGAAGCAGCCAGACTGATGTGCATTGGTGAACTTATGACCAGTCACCTTTGGTATTTTATTTATTTTGAGGAGGAGAATGAACCACATAGTCAACTCATTAACTGAAAATTTAGTTGGGAGGACGTGACATAGTGTCACGGGGTACTTCTGCTCTGACTATGTGGATCCTTCAGTCCTACATCTCCAGCCATCTTCACTATAAAAACCCCACACTTGACTCCTGGAAGTTGCCTGGGTTGACCCAGGACTGCTGAACACCTGGCACAAGGTTGCCTCCAACTCCTGCTGGCTTCTCAGCATTGTACACCTCTTTAGCCAGTCTACATGGTCCAGGGATTGGGCAAAGGGCAGTTTCACCATTCCCCACTGGTGACCTCTGGCCTTTCTGCTTGATTCCTCTCCCTGCAGTCTGAGCAGCCCTGGAAGCAGTGGTATTAGAAAGGTTTCATTCAAGGAATAAAAAGCTCAACACTGGTATCTTTAATGCATGATGTGGTTGATGCAGCATTAAGGAAGGGAAGCTCACGAAGCTCCGGATGAATAAGGGCCATCTGTGGGACTAGCCCTGACCATCAGGTGTCCCCTTAGTGTTGCCCTCTTGTCAGCTGAGAGGGGAAAGAGCTCTGTGCCAGAGGTAAACAACCACACTGGACCTTTTCTGGCCAGTGATAAACCTGCTGATATGTTTTCCCACCCATACGCTCTGTCATTCTAGCTTGGAGATGAGTGCTGGTGGAGCTAGTAAAGATATCTCTGCACCTGTGGTGGATTAAGGCACTTCACAGCTCCTCCACCCACAGATGACTGACAGCTGGGTGAGGTGCTGCTCTCCCTCTCTTATAGAGGTATTGAGAGATAAAATAGTGATGCCTGGAAATGTAAAGCCCTGCAATAAAGGTGAAGGGATGAAATGGAGTTGTGAAGATAGTCTGACTCTTTGGAAATGGAAGTAGGGTAAATGTACCACTGGGTAGTCTCTATAAAAATATAGTTAATGTCAGGGCCAGCTGCAACGTTGCTTTAAATGGGAGGAATTGTACAGCTGCTCTAGCATACCATAAGAGAGTTTATTTGTGTAGTCCTGATATGGGGAGGAGGGGAGATGCTCCCATAAATCCATTTAGTAAATCCAGCAATATGGTCATGAAAATATACTTGTTATCACTAAAGGAGATTTACCTATTACAAAGATAATCAACTTGGTGAGATAATGGATTAAAATGAATTAAAGTTTGACCATGTGGTATTAATAGTAAGTAATAATAATATCAGTGAATGTATTCATGTTTTCATAATATCTGAAAATAAAGACATGGTGCATTATGGCAAACAGCCATCAGTTATGGTGGGTGAACAAAAATTATTTAAATAGTTGAAGTGTTGAGTCAGTGCAGCAGGCCACTGAAGAACTAGAAGAAAAGTAGATTTATAGGAAAAATGTACTGACCTCTGAATAAGAATAATGAAGTGTTCCTTGAAATGCTGGAGAAGGTGGCTTAGCTATTAGGCTAGGGAGAACAATATGAAGTAGGATTTTCATTTAATGTTGACTATTGCACTGAAGCAGTTCAGAAATGAAAGGACTGGCTTACTTTGTGACTAGATGGGATAGTGCTTTATATTTCATTTTGCATAAGTATTATGGTGAAATGAAGTGACTGTTTAACAGAGTAGTACTGACCACAATTTAATAACAGTCTAAATTTCAAGTACTGCAGGGAATTAAGCAATACATACAGTTAGATTAAAGTGTAGGCAGACCAAATTAGATAAAAAGAAGAATATATTAAGAAACAGAGTAGTGTCAGTGTTTATTTTGAAGAAGAACTAGAGAAGAAAATTGGCCAACATGTTGAGATAGTAGGGTTCACTCAAAGGGAGCACAGACAATTACAAAAGCTCTTTGGAGACTTCAAAACCACTGTGGCTGAGTCATTTCGTTTGGAGCAGGGATACTAATCTAAAAAACAGAAAACAGAAACCTGAAATGCTGTCAGAGATTTGTAATAACACTTTAAAAAGAAAGGATCTAAAGGAATAAAGGAGTAAAAAACACTCAAAAGCAAAATTGGAAAAATGAATTGTTAATTCTGTTCATCACGATACCAAAACAGAGAATCAAAATGGGGTGATATGCCAGTTCTGCTCTTCTTGGAGAGCAAACGTCTGCTTTAGATTCTTTGAGAGAGTTTTTAATGTTTTAAAGGACAGCAGGGAGCCTCTGAAATGGCATCAGCCTCCTCTTGTGTCTTTGAACCTTTTTTGCATGAATAGAAAACCAAAGACGAGTGGAACCCCTTAAAAGGGTAATACAGTGAAGAATTGCCTGGTGCTGCAGAGGAAATAGCTGAGAGACTTAGTCATGACATGCAAAGAAAGATAAGAACTCAGTTTTCAGTCTTTCTGAGCCCGTTCTAGTTTGAGATAACTGTGTGCTACAGGCACTTGTTACAGGAGACGTTTTGGTTTTGTAGAGGGCCTGGGATAGCTTCAGCTCTGCTTTTTTATTCAAAACTGACTTGGTATATGGACTAAATTGTATCCTCTTTCCTTAGCTCCTTTCAGCCCTCAGGTAGGAAATTTTTTCTCATCTGTCTTCTCAGTCCTATTCTTTTCATTTTATAGATGGGGGAAAAAGTCAGTTTATAAACTTTGTTTGCATCATCATTGGCTTAACCACAATTACGTGGTAACACTTGATTTTTGGTTGATCCTTGAGGAAATACCCACTGAGCCCCCAGCGTTCAGGAACTCCTTCTCTTAGCTACACACTCAAGACCCAAATGTACGTTCCTGCTTTACTGCTGTGGTCACCACACTTATCTTGGCTGATGGTGCAGGTGCTGCCTGGCCTCTCTGCTGCCCCTGTTCCTGCCTCTACCACCAATAAAGACAGCACACCAGCACCAGTAGTGGTGGTCGCAGAAGAAAAATCTTTTCTTCCTAAATCTGGAAAAAAAAAAAAAATTTGGTCCATTTCTGTGCATGATAGATCCATAAGAAGTCAGCCCCCACCACCTCCTTTTTCAGGCCTTTGGCTGTCACTTAATCTTTCTTACATGAACTTGTCAATCCTACATTGCAAGGTTGCTAGCGTTGTTGAGAATTGTTGGGTACTCTCGTCCAGTTGTGCATCTGCCATGAGACAATCATATAAACTAAATCCATCAGGAGTTAGGATTTCCTGCCTATCCACCCAACACTTTGCTTGTTCTGTCCATCATTTCAATGGCTCCTGCAGCTGGAGAAAATACCAGGTAGCTTGAGAAGCAAGGGACAGAGCCCTTAAGCATGGGGATTCAGTGGGAAAATTCACACTGAGACATCTCTTCCATTTAGCTTCACTAATCACAAAGTCCTAGCATACAAAAGTAACACTGAATACTCCCAAGCAGACCATCAAGAAGGGGACTTTCTTGGCATTATCATTAAAAGCTTAATTCTGTGAAAGAAACTTCATCTATGTTACTGCAGGTGCCTCTGGTTTCTCAGCTTAGCTACTGGGCACAGCGGTCATGGTAAGGCGAGATACCTGCTTAGTCCTTCCTCAACTCACGGTGTTGATGCAGATCGAAAATCTGCCTTTTGGTAGGCACATCTATCTCGTGATGAACATGAGGATTTTTCTGTTCTTTCCATCAATTCTTTACTTGTATGAATGGAGTGTGGCATGGGGGACAGTTCAGCATTAGATAAAAGTAGGCTAAAAAATTCTTCATGTTAAGTGCCAATGGCAAAGTTAAAATGGAGGCACAGCTTGCTGATCTGCGAAAACACTGGCTACTGGTAAGTAATTATTTTCCTATCTGCAATTCTAGATTTGATAAGGGACTGCAATCAATAAGCCCAAGGAAGATTATTTTTAGACGTTAATAATAACAAACCTGGGAATCTGAAGTTGTAGATACAGCAGTGCTCATCTATAAAAATGAAATAAAAAAAGTAAAAAATAGTGATAGTTTACATCCACAGTATTATGAAAATTATGTGATCAATGTATCAATATCAAAGTTATTGAGCTGTCAGTTATCTTTAGGAGAGCTAATAGTTTAGAAATACCAGCTGACGGGAAAACTGCAAGCTTAAGTCCAATACTTGTAAAGATTTCTAGGAAAGCAGCTGCAAATAACATGCTTGAAGGCCTGTCTTAGGTTGTGGTGTTTAAATTAAAGATGTATTTGATG